TGTATCTCACCAAGTGTCGTATCATTATATTTCCTTTGTATTGCAGGAAGGAAAAACACTGTGTTTCTAATTTCTGTTCCATAATACGCAAAATGAAAAAACCAAATCACAATGGCATAAAAAACATGAGATCTCACTATGATTTCCACTGTTTATTGAAGACAATTTGAACAAATAAAGACTTATGTTTTGGAGCTGTTTTCGCTCATTTGAACTGTAACCATGTTCGACAGCAATTTACATAATGTAGATGTATCAGTAAGTAACACTATGAGTATCCAAGAATATCTCAGTAGAATTTAAAAAGGGAGTAAAAAATAGAAAGCCCTGTGATCAGCTTGTCTTACCACTGGAGCAGAGCGACACTAAGTCATTGAACTTAGCCATTGGAACTTTGGTTTGTTCTGTGTTGAGTTTGAAGAGAGTGAAACTCTCTGTGGTTTGCTTTGTGTGTCTCTTCAATTGGATTGTTCCGTACTCTGACTCAATATGGCTGGTTTTGAAGAATGTTGTTGTTGGGCACTCCTTCAGAACTCTGAACCCCATCATTTTGTTCCAGTTGATAGTGTTACTCTCTGAATCTCTTTGAACTCCCAGAACACGCAGGTCGAGTGACAATTGCTTGAAATTTCAGAAGTCAGAGAACTCAAGTGGTATCACGGTGTAAGGCTGCTTTACTCTGGCAAGCCTGAATATGGGTGTCAGCTCTGTTGGTACATAGATGTTCCCAGCTGCAGACATCACAGAGGAGATAGTGCTATGAACAGAGTCCCCCTCATTTTGGCCGTAGTTTGTCACAAAGAACCGCTGAGAGATCTCTCTGAGATTTGGAAGTGTGTTCACAGCGTGTAGCAACATTGTTGGAATGATAGTGCTTTTGTTCTGTCCCGGGAAGCCATCCGAAAAGTGATATGCTATCTTTTTTCCTCAACTGTCATAGTGCTGAAGCGCTTCGAACACGGCTGTGGATATTTCTGAGCTTCCACGCTCGGTTTGGCTTTCATTCCACAGGAAGCAGTGGCAGTCAGCATTTCCAAGGTTATAAAAAGTCAGGTTATAGTTGGAGAAGCGCCGCTTGTAAAACAAAGCACTTTCATTCAAAGATGGGAAGATAGATTACTTGCTGCAGATCGAATGTAGCAATCAGAACTGTTTCATCCTTTGATGCCCCTTGCTTGCATTCCTCCTTTATTTCTCTTACTCTTTTCTTTTCAGAGACATGTTTCTAGAATTAGACCTGCATGTGAGCCTCAACCAGATTGTCTGAAAATTTTGCGCAACCCCCCCCCCCCAAAAGAGCTTTTGTTGGTGTCATAAGGAAGGACTTCCGAGTAACGAGCGACCACCCCAACAAACACAACAAAGAAGAGACCTAACCCTGCCCCTAGGCCTACCCCAATAAAGAACCTGCAACGAGCCTCATGTGAAAAGGCCAGCACAAGTCCAAAATGAAAAATATTTTTAAAATTAAAAAACCACACTCCAAAACAAACAAGGCTTACAAGGAGCATAATATAATCATAATGGCCTACATCTACATATTGCTAGATCTACAATAATAGGGTTTGATACAATAACACAATAGAATTGGAATATGAATCCTCCACATAGATCTAGATCTAGTAAACTAAATAAATCTAGATCTAGAAGAACAAGTGAATAGGATCTAGGAATAGGCCTTGAACTAGAAATCCGCATCCGATTCCGAACAGAGGGGCTCAGCTGAGTCTAGATTCTAAATAAATAAATAATTCACGCACCTGATGAAATGCCTTTTACCAACATTAATATTACAGCACAACCTTTGATAGGGTTTGACAAAATAGAATTGGAATATGAATCCTCCATTGAGGTCTATAATGATCTATATAAATCTAGATCTGGATCTAGATCTAGATTCTATTATTAGACCTGCATGTGAGCCTCAACCAGATTGTCTGAAAATTTTGCGCACCCCCCCCCCCCCCAAAAGAGCTTTTGTAAGAGTCATAAAAGGAAAGACTTCCGAGTAACGAGCGACCACTCCAACAAACACAATTTAAAGAAGAAACCTAACCACTAACCCTAACCCAAACCCTACCCCAAAAAAGAACCTGCAACCGCCCTTATGTAAAAGGCCAGCACAAGTCCAAAATGAAAAAAAACAAAACCCTCCAAAACAGAAGCATAATATAGCCTACTACTTTGCTATAATAGGGTTTGATACAATAACACAATAGAATTGGAATATGAATCGCCCATTTAGATCTAGATCTAGTAATCTAAATAAATCTAGAATCCAGACTCTAGATCTCTAGAAGAACAAGTGAATAGGAATAGGAGGCCTTGAACGAGAAATCCGCATCCGATTCCAAACACTCGAACAGAGAGAGAGGGACTCAGCTGATGAGTCAAAGATTCTAAATAAATAGTTCACGCACCTGATGAAATGCTTTTTACCAGCATTAATATTACAGCACAACCTATAATAGGGTTTGACACAATAGAATTGGAATATGAATCCTCCATTGAGGTCTATTATGATCTATAAATCTAGATCTAGAACAAGTCGGACTCAATCTAAGAATGAATCCACATGAACAGTCAACAAACGAAATTCTAAATGGCCGCTCAAGCACGAAACTGAAAGTAGATAATTTAGGACGTCGTCCTTTTTCGTATTCGCATTTCTACTCAGGTTCCGACAATTATGTCGGAAACGCCGACGTCGGCACGAAAA